TATATCAGTATACCCTTCCAGGCTCTGAAAAAGGCGATACTGCCGAAACGTCAGCTAGCGTTGTATTGTATTGTGTTTTTATGGAAGTAAATGTATGCTGTTTAAAAACCTCGCGATTGCTGAACAAGAAAGCGACACATTCATATTCCAATGCCGAGGTTAAGAGAAAGTCGATCCTGGGAGTTATTATTATTATTAGAATTATTACAAAACCATTAGTAACCTATTATTATCAACTGTTATTGAGTTATCATTTGGTGTCCGTGAGTGTGTAGCTCATTGCAACGAGTTACTCCTCATGCGTACGTAGCCTCTAGGTCGTGTCCTGTCTTTGAACCAACTGTATTCTGCTGATACCAATAAGTTGAACGTACACCTTCGTGCAACATGCAAAACCATGAGTCGCATGTCAATAAATTGCCCTCAGGAGCTATTGCCAGAGGCGTATTGAATATATTAGCGAGATCGTAGGTTGTCGGTCACCGGAAGTGAGCATGCGTCAGAGATTGAGCAGAGTCTAAACAAATGTTGCGAAACGTCTTTGTTGGAGTACTCGTGGCCTTCATCACATATAATCTCGTTAATCAATGAATGTTTCATGCGGGTACAATTAAACTCTTCAGTCGTCCTTATTGTGTGTCATTGACTCCAGAGACGGGACATGAAGAGTATCACACTCTGTGTCAGGCCCTTTGCAGTGATTTTGGCTAGACTGTAGCCACAGTCACCTCAAGGAGTTTACCATCCAACACGTTTATTCCTAACTAGTATTCGCGGTGCACTTATTGAACTCTTAAGTATGAGTGGCCATGCAGATAGCAAGCTCCCGTACCTTGGTGTGATCGCAACACATTGTTGATTTGCAGGTGTCGTATGCTCAGAAAACTTTGTAACCTTACCGTTCTGTGGAAGTTTGCGACTTTGAGAACTAGTGCAGTAACAGTTCATAATACTGCGCTTTGTACTTTCGTTAATTCAACATAAATATCCAATGTTGTTCTTCAAAGAATCTAAGTGGAAACATCGTCTAGAATCTTTTGTGTGAGTCTCGAATTTTTTCCCTTCTGTAGTAACAATTTTAATGACAGTGGTGTTGTGATCAAAAAATTAGGTTTGTTTTCTGTATATGTAATAGTGGAAATGTTTGGAAGTTCTCACTGTTGTTCAACCGTAGTGATTAATTTGTTGTAGCCGTTGGGTCACCTAACGTTTTGTTCAAACAGTGTTAGTAGGAGAATTAGTAGTGTCACAGATAGTAATGATTATAGCGGTAAAGTTTAACTCGAAAGGCTATATTTTCGAAATTGGAGTTGTTGCACCATTCATATACAGTTATCTTTTTGTGGAAGGTGTAAAATGTTAAGAAGGACAGACCAGCTTACATTAAATCAAATTAACTGCCTGAAATAGGACCGCAGATCTAATGCTCAGCTCGGTTGCAAGTCAGAAATACCCTTGTTGTTTTATTATGCTAAATAAGAAACTATTTTCTTTAGGTTTGCAAAACGCAGGAACGAATGCCTTCATGTCAACACTTCAACAGCTATCGGGTCTGTCGGCCCCACTTCTGCCTGGCTCGGCCCTTGGTGCGGCACAGTGGGCCAATTCGCAGTCAGCAGGCCAAACATGGATTGATCCGGTAATCTCCTATGAATCGCAGTCTATTTGTTCATTGAAATTTCATTCACGATTGCACTTTAGGACGTGAAAAGAGAAAGAACGCCTATAATAGAAATTTCAGGCAAAAGTTGCAGCAATGTTACCGATGTACCAAGTATTTACTGGAGTGAAAGGACTGTAAGTTTGAATCCAGTAAGAAATTATAAAAGTCGAAATGTGTGATTAATACATCGTTGTCATTTTAGGAAGATATCACAATCGGAGTTAATTGGTCAGCAGAATATAGCCCCTTTGAGCAATGCGACACTAGCGGCAACATCTTCATCGTCAATATTTCCAACTACCATCACAAAGAGGAGCTTGCGGAAATCGCCCAGTATAAGCGGTTCTCCGCAACTCTCACAGGTAAGGGAAATCTTCCATTAGAGTTGTGGCTATGATTTATTAGGATATAAGCTTGTTTTACTATGAGTGCTTTAGAATTCGCCTGTTGGGGGTCCTTTATCAAGTGGACCGTCGTCTCATCCATCTACATCTACTCCTCAGGATATCGATGTTGGCGTGTTGTCGCATCCATCGAGTCAAACTCATGCCTACGACCTAACCGTGCGATCAAGTCCGGCTAGGACTCCTGATGAAGGAAATCGGAGCACCCAAGATTTCTCTACGAGATCATCGTCCTCGTTCAAAACTGGTTCTGCCGCATTGGCTACCATTCATCCTGTAATTTGCTTATCTATTTAATTACTGCAAAGTTGTAGTTCTGCAATTGAAATTAAGAATAATCTGCTGAAACAAACTCGCAGATGTGATTTCTAAACTAGATTTTTCCGAATTAAACAGAAGATGCCACATTTTACGGTTATAGGTTTTCTGAATTGATTTAACGAATTTTCTTCAACCATATCATATTCTGAGCTGTCATTCCGAACACCAATTCTGGGTGTTCTGCACTAGATTACCGTCAACTTGACTTCTTTGGGTTTCGTTCGCTAGAGCGATTTTTATTCGTTTCTACTCTGGAGTTGTTTAACACTGGCTTAGGAGTCGCATCCGTCGACGTCACAGAGCAGTGGACAACAACCTACGGTAGATGATAATTGGGCAGGTATTGATCTTGGTGACTTGGATCTTTTCACGGGACCATCTTCTAAAGAAAATGAGGCAGCAATTTCGAATGTGTTTGAGCTTGGTGGAAATCTCTTTCCAGACTCCTTCAATGAATCTCCTCAGAAGACAACTTCTTTGTAAGCATTTCATGTTCGTTACAGTTAAAAATTCATTGGAATTCTAGTAATTAACAAATGTTTTCAGTTCTAGTGCTACCATCTCTCAACCCACAGTTAACCACTCCGAAATCGCTGCTGCCGATCAGGAATTTGACCAGATTTTTAGCAGTTTGGAGAACAATACTGCCTCAACTAATGCTTTTCCCTTCGATTTCCATGGTGGCGAAAACCATCCTAGCCTTAGTCCTGTGCAGGTGAATTGCATCTTTAAATCGTAGGAAAATTATATTTAACTTGGAACGTTAAGTTCACACCTCCTGACTCACCAACAGCATGCCCACCAGATCCAAACATAATAGGACTTTTCGGTGGTCCGTCTACATCTTCAGCTGCGATTCCTTCGCTTTCACCGTTCATTACGTCACAAACTTCAACATCATCTACTTCAAATTCTAAACGGAAAGCTGGTAGGCAACAGTTAGGAGAGCCTGAATCTTACCTGGTCAATTTATTCCTATGGAAAGCTAACTTTCAGATTCGGTCAAGCCAATTGCTGCTCCATCACCATCATCTTTCAAGAAGGAACCTCTCGTAACTAGACCAGTACAGAAGTGTAACAAAATTCCCGTATATAAGCAAAGGAAATTCACAGCAATTATATCTAATGACGCCAACGAGACGAAAGGTTGTTACACTTAATCACTATTTTCCGTGTTTTCCGTACCTGTGTCATATTTTCTAGCCGAATTAATTATCTATTATTTTAATTTTAGATGCGAGCGATGCCTATTCTTTCGAGGATGATGAAGAAGTTTTTGGTCTCGGACATGTTGATCCAAAAGAAAAGCTGGATGTCGAGGTTGTGACTGCTTCCTCTTGCTAAAATAGTGATCGTACTAAGTTATCGCGTCTCGATGTCTTAAGGTACGTGAAAAGTTGTCCAAAATTGCTGGTCAACACCCAGAAATGCGGAACAAGAACGTCTATGTCCCCGGAGTTGGGTTTGCCATTCCACCCGATCAACAGGTAACATTTGTTTTAATTATTCGCATGCTGTTTCATAAAGTTTCGAATGTTCGAAATTACAGCAAGATCTTTGGAGACATGTAGTGCCGAAGAAAAGGCCGACAGGCGAGAATCGGCCGGTAATTCCAGCTGCGAGCCTTCTGCCTGCGTCAATGCATGCCGAGGCCAGTCAAGCTGGTGGTATGTTTCCAATGTAGTTTATTTAGCATTCAACATCAGCGATTAAAAGAATAAAGGATAAAGCTTTCGGTGTTGATCAATTCCTGAGTGATGCGCCATGCATTCGACTCCATTGGGTACCGTTGGAGGTGATTGAATACATATTTGGCCTTTACAATGACTCGCAGTGGCCTACCGATGTATCGAGCCAGTTCTGCTATCCTCCCGGACAGGTCTGGTACCAATCTGCCGAGTCCGGAGGGAGGTGGGCCATGGACGAGGGGTACCACTGCGCCACACGCACAGCAGCGATTAGTGCTAAGAATTTTGATGGTCACTGCAAAAACAGGATAGTTGCCGTCATAAATGGATATTCCTTTCTCTTTTCTTTGAGCTCGATATCTGCTAAATCTTTAGTCTAATATTGGAAAGCCAATCTAATTTTTTGATGTTGCTTGACACTGTTTTGTTATTTTGGTTTCAATGATAACTACCATCATGGCAAACACCGAGCGTTCAGCTAGGTTGGGTGAGCCAGAGATCGTCACTCTTGCTGAATCGATTCGTCGAAGAAAGAGGGAGCGACTGGCTTGTACTTTCATAAAAACCGAGCAAACATATGGCAGTGACTGTGCGAAAGAAGAGGGGGCAGATCGGCGAGCCGAGGAAATTAAAAAAGAGTGAGCCTCTACGTACTTTAGGTGATACATGGGCAGTTTACTTGTCCGCATTCTGTGATTGTTTCAAGTTTTACGAACTGTTCTTTGTGATAGAGATATGAAGTCTTTTACAGATTGGAAAGTCAACCAAGACTTCCGAAACTCATTATAAAATTACCTCGACGACCTAACGAAAACAACTACGACTCCAAAAAGAGAAAAAAGAAGCGAAAGAAGAAGGAATATGACAGTGATTGGGAGGGCAGTGATAGGGCAAGACGAAGAAAGCGAACGAAACGAGACAAGGGGTACTCAGGGTAATATAAACTTCATTTCTTTCTTCCTACTCTCTTAGTTTTTGGTTATTCATCAATTGTGTGGAACGTAAAGGTACGAAATACGAGTTGTGGAGCGTGATCAAGAAGAGTGCAAGATACCAAGAGTTGATGAGGAACGAATCGACGTTAGTATGTTGTCGAGAAAGCGTCGCTTAATGATGCAGTGGCAGGAGGGACAAGAGAATCAAAATAGGGAAAACGGTAACGCTTTGAATATCAGGTTTAAAACTATTGCGTTCGATTGCATAAAATTCGTCGTATCTGAATTTATTGTTGAACTGGGGCGCGAGAATTCCTTATGACCATATCCTCTTAGAGCGGATCGAACCAGTGATTGAAACAACAGGCATCTCTTGTTAACCTTTAGTTTCTAGTAAAATATGGCGACTTATAGTGTTTTAACTTTTATTTAATGGCTTTTTTTTTCGTAGTATGTAGCGTTAAATACGTCCACAAGGATGCTAAGAAATAAGCAAAACTTGAAATCTCAGTTGACTTTCGAAACGGCGATTACCATTTCCGACTCTCACCATACTGTCCACCACAGCGACCGAAACTCTTTCTTTGCATTCCTCTCAGACTTGTTGTTACTCCATTGTTACTATTAGCAAACATGCGTCAACGGGAATGATCTGGGGCCACAAATCAGCACTGAACCCAATTAAGCTGAAGCCGTTGTCGAAATCATAATGTTTCAAATTTTGTTTGCTGCCTATTCTTTTTTCAATATAGACTGTGATGTGAGACACAGTCAACTGGACTATTAACTCGCGATTATCCCTTACCGAGTTCTCACGTGCTTCGCTCGTATCTGAGAATCCTTACGGCTATATTCCACATCATACCCTTTCGTGAAACAGAGTATGAAAAATTAGTTTCTTCATAGGCTGAGCAATTTAAAGGAATTTGTGTGTTTCGAATTTACTATTTATAGAAGGATGGGAGTTGCACGCGTGTTCTTTAATTTTCCTTTCAAAACTTATAATATCCTTTCCACTTGTCCTTTTGAAGGTGAGCACAAGACGAGCATTCCATCGCTTTCTACCCGACCGAGAAATGAATTTAACACGGAAGCTATAAAAGCACGACTGTCAAAGTTCGGCCCTGCGGATGGCCATTTGCCGGTTGGTGTTTTATAATAAGAAAAAGTACTTCGTAATGATCAGAGGTATGTCCCATAATGCCTATTTTGCACTTGTAAATTCCTTGAAGTCCTTAATTTGAATTTTGGCCATACCGTTACTTAGAAGTAGGTGCCCTTGTGAAACTAGTCTGAAGAAAGTCCAGTGACCTAAAAATTTTACACAGCTTGATAAGCTGAGAAGGGATTATAAAACCACAGTGTGCTCTAGATTGTTGCATAATTAGGTCCTATTTCGCAAAACAATTCTCGTTTTTAGAAAGGCACTTTTGTCGTTTGCAAAGCTGATATATTTCGAGATGATTGTGCATTGTGGAGAGTAGACAACCAGAACATGATACAGAAGTATCCGCCCAGAATCGATCCGGCAACGAAGGATATTTCCTACAAAAATAGCAGCACAGTAAGTCATCTCCAGCGAGTTTATTTCGTAGTTTCAAGTGGAATGCTGCGAAACTGCTCCTTTTACAGTATTCTGGATGGTGCGATCAGGTTGCATACGGATATTATCGAATTGCTATAAAGCACATTAAACAGACACGTTCTGAAGCAATAATACGACCAGAAATCCCTATATCTGATCTCTTTCCTGCAATGACTTCTGAGTGTAATGATGTAAATGGCTTTCTGAAAGGAGACGGTATATAGCTAGCACTGTGTTATCGTGATCACTACACCATTCTATGACAGAGATGTTTTTTTTTTGTTTTCTTTTTTAAGAGGAGTGTTCAACTGATACTGAAGATCACATTTCAATGCTACGCGATCCGCTGCGTTTGTCGCTATACACATTCACCCTGGCTATGATCAATCATGCTCTTACTCTGGAGTTTTTTCAGCAGATGAAAGGCAAAAATGGTGAACCCAAATTGGTTATTATCAACTGTTGTTGAAATTTTTTCATTAAACATTTACAGATTGGAATTTTTTGAGAGCTGTAACTGAAATCGATAAGGTAAACGCGGACAGCTTGACCAAGCTTCGAGGATTGGTGAAGTTCAATGAGAAGCTTGAAGATGCAATTCATGCTTATACACAGCTTTGCATCACCGATAGTGACTTCCACTCACTCCACTGTCAGGTTAATCTTTGATTGTTTTTTCTCAGAGAAGTGAACGAATGGAGTTAATCACACAACACCGGACGCTGGTTTTTTGAATATGGGTGTTAATTTCTGGGTCTGCAGTGTTCTAGGAAGTTAAAACTGCGCATGTTTATAGAAGAAACTTTGCTATATTGCGCCAGAAGTGTATGTAATTTCTACAAACGATTCTTTCAATTTTAAGTGTTTTTGTGCTACTGGTGGGAAGTCGTGTTTGTTCAGTTGTTTTCATGTTTGAAATACGAGCTTTGACGCAAAAAAAAACTGGGAAAATTACATTTTGTGGGTTCTAGAAGATCAGAATTTAATCTTAAGAATTTGAACCTTGTGCGCGAGAAGCTGTAGATTCTAGTGCTTTTTATTTAAACTAATAACATTTGATACAGGCTGGGTTGTGTTGGTTTAAACTGCAAAAGCAGCCATTGCGAACCTAATGCATTTGACTGAAATCTTATCTTTTTTGCCAAGTTTCCTATCGGTTTAACACGGAAATAGAGGTATATAATGAGTTATGCATTCTAGTCTTGTGCTTTGCTGCCGATCGAGCGAATTATTCAGCTTTATGCTCTGGATTCCTATGATTTAGAAACGTTGCAGCCAGTTGATAAGCCCTCATTGGATTCAAGTCCGTTGCCTGCTTACGTGAGTTCCGTGGTTGTGAGATGGCTTAAACTCCAATTTTTTGTTAAATAGTAAGTTTGTCCAGACATTTCCAGGAATTTCTTGTGTGTCACTCCTGTGCTAATGTTTCACAACTATATCACAGATGCTACCATATGAAGTATCACTTGTTGAAGAAATGCGAAGACAAGGTAAAATCTTCGGGCTGTAATTGTTGCTGGGAATATTATATTTATATTTTTTCAAACCATTTCAGCTCGAAATCCTGGGAACCCAACATCCCGAGTATTCGCCGGAAAAAACGGTGGAGGCGGCACGAAAGTGTCGCGGTTGGTTGAATCGTATTCTCACTGAATACATGGATCTTTGGAAAAAGATTCAGAATCTTGATCACTGATCCATGTTCCAGTGCATATCTTGCCTCTGACATTAACAGACATAACAACAGAAGGCGTAGACAGACTGGGAGTTAGGCAGAAGAACATAAAAAAAAACAGCATGAAGAACAAGAATGGAACTATTCACTGTATCGCTTATACATTCTTGAATTTAGTGCTTGGCATACTAATTAGTATACCCAAAAGTATTGTTGTTTGGAAATGTTTCCTTTTCACAGGTGTTCCTTCAGCGCAGCTGACCTTCACATAAATCCGAGATTCCTCTTGCCAGAACTGTCGGTTTTGCTCTAAACGCAGTTATACTGCTGACTCTTACATACTCTTCATATCATTTTTCATAATCAACATAAGCTTTCATGTCGACCTCGTAGCCAGTGTTGGCAATTAGGGTACCTATGTTGCATACCAATGTTGCCTACACATATTCGTTTTTCGCCTATGTGATCTGGTTTTTTTGTGTCATGTGAAGACCAGTTGGTCGTAATGATATAGGAACTTTACCCACAACGATCAACTAGTCTTTATCTGAAATGCGGGGACTTTATATAGCTCAAGTTACCATTTTCATTGAATCCTTCACTTATACTTGTTTGAAAAGCCTCCGAAGTAATGGCAGGTCTCGTTGAGTTTCATGTTTACCATGTTTTCTAAGCCATTATTCGAGTAATTTTCGTTCGATTTAGGAGAAAGTTTTGTATAGAGTGAACGGAGAAGATCTCAATCTTTGCCTTTAGATGAATAAAGTTTTATAAATGAATCGGTTGTAGAACATTTATGGCGTTTTGAAAGATCCGAAGAGAAAAGTGGAACTTCTAAGAAGTGAGGACATTGCCGACCAACATATTTTGCTTTATACTTCCTACACTTTTTACTTCTTATATACTTAATCCTTTTTACAAACGATGCTTTCCTAACCACATTTTCCACTGATGTTCTTTGGTGACCATCATCCATGGTGACAAACTGTACTTCTCAGATGATTTTACTTTTTGCTTTTAAGCCAGCGAATCTATGTCCAATTGTTAACTAACCTAGTTAACTTGAGGTGTAAGCATGTTTGCCTACTTCATGTTGGTCTTCTAGTATACATGAGTCCATACCGCGTCCAAGTTGCTCCCAGTTCATCTGTCGTTTATACGTTTCGCTTCTTTCGGAAACAAAGATGCGACATGTGATTCTGTCCACCTTCTGCCTAGGGTTTCTCTTCAAGGTCATTTTCTAAAGTCATCAAACGTTCTTGATGAACAGAATTTGAGATCACCGCATTCAAACGTCATTTGAACCACATCATGTGCTTTCCATGAAACGACAGTTTGTAACAGTCTTAATCTTTTCACGCTGTTCGTTCGTGAATTGGCGGTTTATTACAGTCCCGACCTTTTAACTTTGTTGAACTCTTTGTGCACAGCTTTATCTTTACCGTTGCTTTTCGAAAGGACGGTGACGTCGTTATCAAAAAGACGAGTTGATTGGAATCTTTTATAAATATCCGCGTGCCATTTTCTTCCCAATCCATCGACGTAGGTATGTTCGTTGCAGTGCTGCGGTGAAGAGCTTTAGTGATATGGCATTGCCTTGTCGTGCATTTTTCTGTGTGGTTCAATGAAGGCTTGTCAAGAAGTGCTTCTTTATGGTATTTTTGAAATGATGGAATGTTAGAGTTCTAGCGTAGGATGTATTGGAAGGTCACAAATCGGGAATAATTTTCATGATTCACTTGGTCGTCTTTTAAGCATTGTGTGACCGTGAGATTTCGGCTTCTACATCGTCCTTGAGCGTTCGGTTGTTTTTTCATTCCTACTTTCGTTTCTGATTTCGGTTCTAACATCTCTCTGAATCAACTAGTAGGAAGACCGAGCGAAGGATTCGTCGCCGAAAACACACCTCTCTCAGATCCACATCGTAGTAAAGACCTGGATACGCTCTTGCAAGGTTAAGCCAGGACTCCAGGGAGGACCAAGTTGCACAACCCGCAATAGGCCAGCTTCAGTACCCCGCACACTGGGTGCTCCCGTCTATTACGTCAGGGGGTGAGACAATCGGTGAAAGGCCAGAAAATCTCGGGTTACGCCGAAAGTTATTGGAACCGGATCTGACAAACACACGCATGACACGCCATGAAGATTGCTTCATACTATGCACGTATAATGCCTGAACATTCTCCACATACACCGATCTTTACGCCCTTCTTGTAGTCGCCGATCGCAATAAATTTCATGTGATCGCATTACAAGAAACAAAAATCAAGAAGACCGACATACGCGAACTAAACAACGGGACCCTTGTGATCTGTGGAGAAAAGGTCCCGGCACAAGCAGAAAAGGCACGTCGGTGGCGTAGGCTTTGTCGTCCACCCGTCCATTGTCCATCTCGTCGACCCACACGAGTTCCTTTTCCCTCGCATAGCCGCCCTCCGTCTTTAACTTTCGCATCATGAGTAGATCACTATCGTCAACTGCTACTCACCGACCGACGCAGTTGATGAGCGTGAATTACATGCGTTCTACTATCAGTTGGAGGAATTTATCCGCGATGATAAAGCATATCATGAATTTGTTGTCGGAGACTTCAACGCCAGAATGGGAAGGACCAACGAGAAATTTTGGATTAGGAGAAAGAAATGAGAATGGGAACCGTCTCGCATGACTCCTGTCAGCAGCACGTCTCTTTCATGGGAACTCGTTCTTCCAGAAGAAAGAAAGCCGCCGCTGGGCATGGGAGTCTCCCAACGGCATGACTCATGCGGAGATCGACCATATCCTGACCAATAGAAAATGGTGCATACTTGACACATCGGTAGTCCCGTCATTCTGTACTGGTTCCGATCACCACCTTCTTCGCACGAAGATTCGATTCAGCCGCAAGCTGGAAAAGAACTCTCTTCATCGACCAGAGGAGAAAGTCTAGCTGTCTACGACGAGAACATTCTGAATGAAGTCCTATCCAAACGTGACTGGCAGATTAAAAAAGACCCGACCAAAGACTACGAGTTGCTTGTCGAAGGACTGAAATGCTGTGCCGAATTTGCCTCAGTTCCTCAAGCAAGAAGATCGGATCGCATCCCCATCACTACTAAGGAGTTGCTCGAAAAGAGAAGAAAACTGAAGGTTGATCCTACTGCAACGCGGTTAACATGGCTAGTAATAAATTCCAGCTGCAGAAGAGCTTTGCAGGAAGATCAGCAACGGTACAAGCAGAAGAAAATACTGAAAGCAGCAGAGAAAAGAAGCAGTCTGAAAAAATGCCGTCGGGACTTGTGTAATTATAATGTTCCGCTGTGAGCCCTAATGAACGAAGATGGGATCGTCAAAACTTCACACCATGATATGGAATTAATAGCGGAAACGTTCTACACCAACCTTTTCCGTTCCACAGTCCCGTCCCGGGCTCTAATATCCCCGCTGGAGAGAAACCACCTGAAATTCTTCCCGCGGAGGTTCGAGTGGCGACAGAAAGCATGAAAAGGGGCACAGCTCCAGGACCCGATAATATTACTGCCGATTTCTTTAGAGCTGGAGGCCACGATTTACGTGTACTTCTCTCAGATCATATGACAGGTTACCTTCAAAAGGAAAAAATCCCAGACCAGTGGAGGACTTCGCGCACGGTCATTATGCCCAAGAAAGGAGATCGAACGGATCTTCGTTCCTATCGTCCCATATGCTTGTTAAGTGTACTCTGCAGCTCTTCACGAAGATTATCCTCTCGCGCATATCGAGGACATTGGATGAGGCGCAACCAGTGGACCAATCAGAATTTCAACAAGGATTTTGCTTCATGGACCACATCCAAACCGTTACCAGGGTCATCGAAATTTGTCGGGAATACCACTTTCCTCTTGTTCTAACCTTTGTTGACTTTGAAAAAGCGTTTGGCAGTGTCGAAACGATTGCAATCCTATCAGCGTTCGTCGACCAAGGAGTGGACCCGTACTACATAAGGATTCTGTCCGACTGTTATCGGAACTGCACTACGAAAATACAGCTTTTCTATCGACCTCTCACCATACCCATAGGAAAAGGGGTTCAACAGGGCAACACATCGCCAAAGCTGATCGGTGCCACACTGCAGTGCATAATGAAATAACTCGATTTGGATGAGATAGGCACACGTATTGATGGAATATTTCTATCGAACCTTCGTTTTGCCGACGACTCGTCTTCTGAAGAAGTACTAGCGAAGCAGAGATGATGATCAACGAGCTCAACGAAGCGGAGAAAAAGATCGGATTGCAAATGAATCGAAAGAAGACCCAGTTCATGAAAATCCATGGTGCGAAGGCGAAAAAATTGAACTAGATGGCTCCCTGATTGTAGAGATTCCCTCGTATGTATACTTTGGGCGATTAATGAACATGGAAAACAACATGAAGGAGGAACTAGATAGAAGAAGGAGAGCAGCTTGGGCCGCATTCGAGCCTCTCAAAGAAGCTACTGACCATTTAAAGGGCCCGAAAATCCGCGCTCATCTCTTTGATTCAACGGTCCTCCTAGCGCTCTGTTATGCTGCAGAGACGTGGATTGATACTTCAACCACGTCAAGAATGCTTCGCACTGGTTACAGAGCGCTTGAGCGATGTCTTCTGAGATATAGCCGGTTCTCTCAATATCAAGCCGGAATGATAAGCTCTAACCTTCGAAATCTGTTACATCTTCGAGACCTAGGAGAATATACATCGACAGCGAAACATAGATGGGCCGGTCACGTAGTGAGAAGAACAGACGACAGATAGACGAAAAAAAACAGTAGGGTGGCCTCCAAGAGAATGCAAGCGTCCCCTTGGACTACCCACCTACACGTTTGACGGACGAAGTTAATCATCTTTACCTGCAGCTGCAGTTGTTTTACAGATCACGTTATGAGACTCGCACGCGTTACCGTGGTCGAACAAGACCACCATCATGGACTATGATTGCGAGCGAAAGGAACGAATGGCATATGTGCTGGGATCCGCACAACTCATGAAGATGCACCGTCCAAGTATCCAAGTAAGTAAGTA